GTCCCCGGGGCTGGGCGCGGGCTGGGGACAGGGACAGGGACAGCCCGGCAGCGTGGGCCGGAGCGGGGCCGGCAGCTCAGGGCTCCCCACGCGCTTCCCAGGCTGCTCCCGGCTGTGCCGGCGCCACTCGCCCACTCCCGACTCGGTGTCTCCATGTGCCGCCTCCCCGCCGTGCCCCTGGGAGCTGGGAACGCTTCCCCGCTGCCTTTGCCAGGACCTCTCCGCAGCCCGGCTCCACTCCCACCCTGTGCAGGTGCAGCCTGTCCTGGGCACACCCTGGCGTGCTGAACCTGCCAGGAGCTGCGCTGCTCCCTCGGGATGCGCTCTTCCCCGGGCTCTCCATCCCCCCATCCCTGGTGACTCTGCCTCTTTGCCCTCTTTGTCCAGGTGTTCTACAACGGTGCCAACGTGAAGCAGGTGGATGTGCCCACGCTGACCGGCTCCTTTGGCATCCTGGCATCCCACGTCCCCACGCTCCAGGTGCTCCGGCCGGGCGTTGTCACAGTCCACGCTGAGGATGGGACGGCCACCAAGTACTTTGGTGAGCAAGGCAGGAGCTGGGGAGGAAAGGTGTGCGTGAGGATGATGTTCTTGGCACTTGCACAAGGGAGGTTCTGCCCATCCAGGTGTGGCCTGGTGCACTTCCAGGGATTTCTGCTTTCCCAGCCTGACAAGGACTGCTGGAAGCTGCTCTGGGAGCCGTGGGCTGGGGTCAGGTCTTAGTTCTGCTCAGGCTCTCTGGGAGCTTCCCCTGCTCCAGCTTGCCTTGGGGTGGGAGCTGAGTCCCTGAATGCTGGAAATGTGACAGAACAGGGCTGAGGGTTTGTTTTGGGAAAGGATGGTGGGGATGCCAGGGCTGAGCCCCTCTGGCAGCCCTGGCTGACCCACCCCATGTTGTGCCTTGCAGTGAGCAGCGGCTCTGTCACTGTCCATGCCGACTCCACGGTGCAGGTGCTGGCAGAGGAGGCAGTGACCATGGACATGCTGGACCTGGCTGTGAGTACCCAGACATTTCACCAGCCCTGGGCTCTCTCCCTGGGGAGGATTTTCCCCCCTTCTCTTCTCTGGGGTCTTTGTCTTGGGAGCTTCCAGTGCCCAGAAGCCAGGGTTGTGTCTGCACCCCCACTACATTTTGGGATCAGAGGCTTGGGGCTTCTCCTTGGTGAAGTCTGTGGAGAGAGGGAGCTCTGCAGTCATAAATCTCCATGCCTTTTCCCACCCCATGAACAAACACTGACCTTGTCCTCACCTCCAGAACAGCTTTTCCCTGCTGATAAAGTGTCTGGGGCCAGCACAGCTGTGTCTGTAGCTCTGTGGGGCTCCCAAGTCAGTGGGAGCATATGAAGGACCTTGGCATCCATATGAAGGACCAGTGGCTGCAAGGGAGGGAGGGCAGGACAATCCCCTCTCTTGGAGTGTCTCCCAATGACACACATTCTTTGTGCCCTCATGTCCAGACTGCGAAATCCAACCTGGAGAAAGCTGTGTCAGAGATGGCAGCAGCGTCCGATGAAGCCGCTAAAGCAGAAGCTCAGATTAAGGTAGAAGCTAATGAAGCTCTGGTAAAGGCTCTGGAGTAAATCCAGGTGAGGTTCAGCTGCAGCCTGGCTGAGCATCCACACCCTGTGGGGCTGGGCAAGGGGATCTGACTTGCTTTTGGGGAGCAGTGACTGCAGCTGTCCCTTGCCAGGCTCAGGCCTCAGCTCTGCAGGGCTCATGGGGGTCCCCAGCCCGGAGCCAACTGGGGCTGCAAGGTGGCACTGTGGGGTCCAAGCCTGACACACAGCCTGGTCCAGCCCGGCTGTGACACCGGAGTTCAGCCCTGACAAGAGTGGGTGGGTGGTGCTGGGACAGATTGGGAACTGTGGTCACTGCTGGGGCTTCGCTGGTGCCCCAGGTCCCCACTGGGACTGGCCATAACTGGTGACAACTCAGGGGCAGAAGGGGGTTGCTGGGCCCCACAGGGACAGCAGCATGTGACCTCTGCCCCACGTGCTTCCACTAAAGACAAACAGCTTCAGTCTCAGGGGAGGTGAGGCCTTACCTTGTGGCCTCTTTTTGCTCTGCCCTGCACAGACTGTGCTTCATCCCTTCCCACGTGCTGGCAGCCGGGAGCTGCGGCAGCGTGTGCTGTGCAGGGCTGTGAGTCACTGACAGCCTCCAACGGGCTCAGCCTGGAGCACAGGAGGGCACCAGCTCCTGCTCTCTCCTCATCTCTGGCCTGGGTGCTCTTTGGCCCTAGAGAGCTGGTGGCTCGTGTTTACTCACAGCAGCTGGAGTGGGGCCAAGCATGGGATGGGGATTGGGATCCACGGCCCAGCCGAGCCCACCCCACACTAACCTGACCCCTCTTTGTGTTTTGCAGGAATCCCACTGTGGATGCAGAACTCCCAGTCTGTGTCTGTTCTGCTCCCCGGCTGTACAGATGGAACGGGACAAATGGAGGTGGAGAAATGGTTCTGATCAATTAAAAGGAAATGTGACCCCCTCTTGTGGCACTCGCCTTCTTCCCAGGCAGCAATTGCAGCTGGAGCGGGAGCAGTTCCCAGCTCCTGCCCCAAGGCGGATTCACCCTGGGAAGGGGTCACCAGCACTGCCCTGGGGTTTGGCTGGGCATTCCCAGGGGAGACTCACTCCCAGGAGGTTCATCAGACAGGTTTATAATCCCCTCCCTGTGCTCCAGCCACTTCCATCTCCAGTAACCCCTCGGACAGCGGGATTTCAGCAGCACAGGAGGAGCACAGGTCTGTTCCAGAGCCATCCTATCCCAGCTCCCTGCTCCAGCTCTGGCTCTGCCTCAGCCTCCCAGCTCCAGCACCGCAGGAATCCACGTTGGCACAGCACAGTGCTTCCCACAGCTGGACAGCAGCTGCTGGGCTCTGCCCCATCCCCTGCTGCTGCCAGTGGCACTTCCCCTGCTCCTGGAGACAGGCTTGGTGTGGAGAGGGAAGCAGATGCTGTGCATGGTGAGAATCTTTCCTGCTTCCGCTCGTGCTGCAGATGGCTGGAGCTGCTCTGCTGAGCTTGCTGCTTGCTGGGTGCAGCCTTGTCTGAGGGCACCTGGGATTCCTCAGGGCTCCTCACAGCCCAGGGAAGCAGGAAGGGCTCTCTGGGCCATGGCACTGTTGGGAAGGGGTGGGTTCGGGCAAGGGGACGGCTCTGCCTGTTCCAGGCATCCCGGGATGTGTGTCCTGTGTGTCCTGCTGCACCAGCTGCTGCCGGGCCCCTCGCTCCGTGCCACCCTCCCACGCCTTCCCAGAGGGATTTCGGGTTTCCACTGCTGTGCAGAGCTTCCATCCCTCGCTCTGCGTCGCTCTAATCCCCTTTTCCCCGCAGTGTTCCAGCCCGGGAAGGCGCATTGGCTGCCTGTAAGGTCAGTGCTCGCCGCTCCGGCCTCCCGCGGGCCCCACGCGGTTCCCGCTGCTCCGCGCTCGGAGCAGGGCACGGCTATTTTCGGCACTGCCACCCAGGATGTAATCTTGGCTGCCTCCTCTTCTCACCGCCACCTCCTCCCCCTCCTCTCGCTCACTCTGTCTTTCTCTCCCCCCCCTTCACAAGTGATCAAAAATAGAGCCTGTGGTGTTAAATTTCTCACTCTGTGGCTTATTAAAAGCCTCCGAGTGCCTGACGCGGAGCCTATTTGAAGCTCAGCCGACTTCCAGCTCCTGAGCTGCTCCAGTGCCTTTTCCCCTTCCCCTCTCATTCCCTTCCTTTTTTCCCTTAAAGGTCAGACATTGCACCAAGCGTGAGCAAAGCTTCAGAGTCAGAGCTGTACTAATTAAAATATCTTGGGAATTACTGGGGCTGGCCAGCTCCCTTCCCTCTCCTGCTGCCCCTCTCTGTCCCCAGCTGCTATTTCGGCTGCGTGAGCCTCCCCCAGCACACGCAGCCGTGCTGACGGAAGGTGGCTGCCTTGGGTTTTTCATCTAATGGAAGAGCGTTGGCGAGGCCGGGAAGCTGGGGAAACGGCCAGCTGCTATTTTTAGGATGGGAAAAAAGTGTCTCCGTCAGCGTCCTCTCACCAGCTCTTCCCACTGCCTCCTGCCAGCGTCGGGGGAGCTGGGGGGGCTGAGGGATCCGGTCCTGCCCCCCTCACAGAGTGCCCTTGACCGGGTGCTCCGCAGCCTGACGCCTGCTGGGACTTGTAGGCTGCGTCAGTGAGCGACCCTTCCATGTCCAGAGACCCTGGGGATGGAGCCTCACGGATGTAAGGACAAGGTTTTGTCCAGAGCCAGGACAGGACAGGGAATGTGGGTGCCTGGCTGGTGGCATCATAGCCCTGCTCACCCTGAGCTGCACTTTTGGGGGTGCAGGGCCTGTGTGGGTGATTCCCTGTGCTCCTCCACATTCCCAGCCCAGGCTGCTCTCTGCAGCCTCGGCTCTGAGCCCCTCACCTCTGCTTCCAGCCCTTCCCCTCCCTGCTCATTATCTGGCTCTGGCAGAGCCACGTTCTCCTCCTCCTCCGACTCCCGCTGCCCACACCAGAGCCCCAATCAGTCACGTCCTGCTGGATGCCACAAAGATGGCCTGACTCGGTGCAGGGGATGTGTGCTGCGGCTGCTCCAGAAGCAAAGCCCCTTCCTGCTCCCAGGCTGTGCTGGCACTGCAGGGATGAGCCCAGTTTAGGGGCAGGCAGGGAGGTGGGGGACAGCCCTGGTGTGGATGATGATGTGATTCAGCAGGTGACTCTCCCTCCTCTCCCCTCCCACATCAGCCTGGATTGTGACACCCAGTGTGGCACTTTCCTATCCCTGGAGTGCTGGCACCTGCCTTGGGGCACGGCAGCCTCCATCCGTGCTTCCTGCCTCTTTTTGGGGTGCCCCTGCCTTTGGGGGCCAGGCAGGACAGGGAGCATCGGCAGCGTGCTGGAGTTATTCCCGGGAGCCCGGGACCTGTTTGTCTCCGGCTTTGGGCTGGGGCGTGGTGGGTGTGAGAGGGGAAGGGCTGCCCGGAACGTGGTGGGAGCGGGGGGAGGGCTGGTGCTGCCCCCCCTCCTCCCTTTCCACCCAGGGCTCTCGCCCATGACTCGCATCCTCTGCTGCCAGATGGAGGGTGGGGAGCGGGGCCGGGAGCGCTCGGAAAGTGAAGCATCACGGATTCTGCCGGCGGCGTCGCTTCTCCGGGGGATGATTTCCGAGACGGGCCGGGTTCTGCCAGGCCAAATCTCCCGGTGCTGGCGGCGCTCCCCGCGTTTGGCCGCGTGGCATTTCCCCGTCCCACCCAGTCCCGAATGCAGGCGAAAGGTTCCAGCTCTCCTCTCTGTGTAGGAAAACAACCCCAAACCCCACCGCAGCCCCAGGAAACCCCGCTCCCACTGGGCTGACTCATCCGGCAGAGCCGCCCCTTTCCCTGCCCAAACCTTGGCGCTTTGGGGATCCTGCCCGTCCCAGCTGCCGCCCCGCACCTTCGGCGCCCACCCTGCAGCATCAGGGTGGGGGTACAGGGGCTTCCCCTACTCCTCCCAGTGCCAGGGAGCTGCAGGATGTGGGGACCCCCGGGGTGCCACTCCCCAAAGCTCTGCAGAGCCGGGGTGCAGACCTGGCCCCCTCCCACCCGCAGGCCCTCGGGTGCTGGCGCTGGCCCCGGCGTGGGAAGGTCAGCGGAGGCTCCGCTCGCTGCCAGCACAGCCCGGAGTGTCCTTGGGCCACGTCGCCCTTGGGCGGCTCGAAGGCCGAATCCTCACAGCTTCCTTAGGACGGGGTGGGGGGGAACTGCTGTAATGATTAACTCGCCAGCCTTAATCGTTCCGGCCGGCAGCCTTTTTCCTCTGGGTTTCCAGCTCTGGAAAATGCTCCTTTTCCAACGCCCTCCCACGCACGTGGCCCCGCAGAGGGAGCGTGGCACAGCTCAGGGAAAACCCTGTGGAGAGGAACGGGACTTAGCTCGGGGTCTGGCACCGGGATCTGTCCCGGCTGGGGCCCCTCGGTCCCGGTTCTGGAGGTGTTTTGCCTGCAGATGGCGGCGGAGCCGTGGGGAGCGTCGCCCCAGCAGCCTCACC